CAAAAAAAAAAAAAAAAAAAAAAAAAAAAAAAAAAAAAAAATACCAAAACTGGGTAGCTCATAAAAAAACAGAAATTTGTTTTCAACATTCTGGGGCTGAAAAGTCCATTGCTATCTGGTAAGGGCCCAGGTTCTGGTTCACGGCCCAGGTTCTGGTTCACAGACAGTGCCTTCTTGCTGTGTTCTTGCATGGTAAAAGAGGGAAGGGGATCTCTCTCATCTTTTTTGTAAGGGCTCTGTCCTCATGACCCAATCATCTCCCAAAAGCCCCCCCTTCTAATACCATCACTTTGTAGGTGAGGATTTCAACACAAATTCCAGGTAGACACAAACATTTAGACCATAGCACCCTCCCAGCTTAGCCTCCCAGCCAGCCACTGACTCATGGACCAAAAACCACTATTTTGGTAACAGACAAGAGATCTCCCTTATGAGATACTTAACGCAGAGGCTACATTTGAGATGGATACATTACTGTGGTACTGAGTATCTTAACTTTGGCATTTCCTGAGCTGAGCATTTAAACTGGCAAGTTAATTCTATGATTAAATGAGTATTTTAATGTTTATATTCTACAACAGAATCGAATGTTCATTTGCCCATCTTCCAGTCTTCTATTTTTCCAGGCACTGTAAGCCAAAAATACATGTCATGTGCACTGTCACCTAAGCAATTTTAAACTGGCTCTTGCCTAAACCAGTCATTAAGAATCCATTGTCATGGTCTATCATTAATAACATGTTCCCATTTCCTCATGTATAACCAGGGACCAAAGCTATTTTTACAGGAAAGAAATTCTCAGTCTAAGCCTAGCCAACTCTCAAATTATATACTCTATGGAAGCTGCAGATTCTGGCTTTGATCACTATGATTCAAGAAGAATCATAAGTGTGATCATATAGCCAAGAAAAGAGTCACTTAAGGAAGACATCCCTGAGTATTCAATATGGATGCAGAATCCAAGAAGATTTAGAATACGAATCTGGTATTTTACCAGGAACCTTGAGCAATTCACCTGCCCTCTAGTGATTACTGCTTTGTAAGAAAAGTGAAAATATACTCATGAAAATGCCAGAGATGTTGGTGTTGCTGTTGCTGTTGTTTTGTAGACAGGGTCTCCATATGTTGCCCAGGCTGGTCCCGCACTCCTGGGCTTAAGAGAACCTCCCACATCAGCCTCCCAAAGTGCTGGGATTAGACATGAGTCACTGTGCCCAGCCAGAGATATTGCTTTGATTAACCATCAAACAATTATGTCTCAGGGTTACCAGGGACCTCAGCAAGTCATCTCTGTCATCTCCCTCATTTCCAAACAAGCTCACACCTAAACGATCCCAGAAAGACAAAGTCTTTGGAGAAGATACTTCAAAATATCCCTTGGTAACAACATTTCAGTATCTTGCAGTCAGGAAGTTCTCTCTAATGTGTAATCTACATCCTTTATGTTGCAATTAAAACTCATTCCCTCTTGTCCTGTCCTCTATGGAAAGAGAACATCTGCTTAACACCACCTGAACAATATCCCTCCAAGAGATTATAAAATATAGAAAGCCCATTTCAAATAGCTTCATGTAAATGCAACATGGCTTTATATGGGTCACCTTAGACAAAGAACATGATTAAGAGTCTTAAATTCCTAATTCCATCACTGACTTGCTCTCAAGATGATAGGAAGTTAAAACCATGCAGATGCTATGCTTCAATTATCCCATCAGTAAAATGCAAATAATAAAACCAGAATGTTATAACTCAGTTCTTCATACAGGAAAGAGATTCTGAGTCCCAATCTAAGCCCAGCCAACAACTTTGAAATCACATACTCTGGGGAAACTGCAGATACTGGCTTTGATCTCTAACATGTCAGAAGATCATTAACAGTAACATAGCAATAATATATTACCACAGGACTTGCAATTCCACTCATAGGTATATACTTAAAATAACTGAAAATAAGCCCATGCACATGCATGTTCAGAGCAACACTATTCATAAAAGCAGTGGGCAGAAACAGCCCAAATGTTCTTCAACAGATGAATGGATAAACAAATACAGTATATACACACAATGGAATATTACTGTCATGAAAAAAGTGAAGTACTGATAAATACTCCAACGTAAATAAACCTCCAAAACATTATGCTAAGTCAAACAAGCCAGACACAAAAGATCACCTACTGTATGATGCCATTTATATGAAACATCCAAAATGGCCATTTGTCACAGAAAGAGCTGATCTCCTCGCCCTCCCAAAATGCTGGGATTATAGGCATAAGCCACAGCGCCCAGCTGCATTTTTTTTTTTAAAGAAAAAGGATTCACTGAACTGAAATTCACTTCACATAAAATTAGCCATCTTAAAATGAACAAGTCAGTGGCATTTAAGTACACTCACAATGTTCTGCAACCTGCTTAGTTTCAAAACATTACCATGACTCCAAAGTAAAACCACTTACCAGTTAAGCAGGTTATCCTCATTCCACCCTTCCTCCAACCCCTGATAACCACCAATCTGCATTCTGTCTCTATGGATTGATCTATTCCGGTTAGTTAGTTATTTTTGAGACAGAGTTTTGATCTTATTGCCCAGGCTAGAGTGCAATGGAGCAATCTTGGCTCACGGCAACCTCTGCCTCCCCAGTTCAAGTGATTCTCCTGCTTCAGCTTTCTGAGGAGCTGGGAAAACAGGCGTGCACCACCACACCTGGCTAATTTTTGTATTTTTAGTAAAGACAGGGTTTCTCCATATTGGCCAGGCTGGTTTCAAACTCCTGACCTCAGGTGATCCACCTGCCTTAGCCTCCCAAAGTGCTGGGATTACAGGCGTGAGCCACCACGCCCAGCCTAGACATGTTAATAATCAAAATACACAGACCATCTCTACTTCTTCCCTTCCCATGCCTTAAACCCAACTCAATGTAGCTTCTGGCCCTAATTTCCTCCAATATTGTTCTTGCTATAATCATCAATGATCTCTGTGTTGCTAAATCCAACAATACACAGTGATTACTCCCTTCTTGAAATATGCTCCTCTCTTGGTTTCTCTAATAACACCATCTCTTAGATTTTCTCTTAAATTCCTTGGAGTGTAGTCTTCTCCTCCTACTCTATACTTGTTCTCCAGACAATTTCATCCATTTCCCTTGGGTGTAAATACCATCCATATACCAATACCATCCAGATTTCTCTCCAGCACCACTTTTGTGAATCAGCCTAAAGACTACTTACTTGATATCTACGCTTGTATGTTTTCACAGGCATCTCACACTTCCTGAGGTCTTCACTCCACACCCCAACTCTAGTCAAAATCTGCTCCTCCTCCAATGTTTCCATCTCAGAAACAGCACCTTCATCTACCCAGATGCTCATGCCAAAAATCTGGAATCATACTTGACACCTTCCTCTTCCCACACATCCAATCCATTAAGTCTTGCCTGTCCTAATTCTAAAATATCTACTGAATTGGCCAGGCGCGATGGCTCACGCCGGTAATCCCAGCACTTTGGGAGGCCAAGATAGGTGGATCACAAGGTCAAGAGATTGAGACCATCCTGGCCAACATGCTGAAACTCCATCTCTACTAAAAATACAAAATTTAGCTGGGCATGGTGGCACATGATAGAGTGAGACTCCATCTCAAAAAAAAAAAAAAAAAATCTACTAAATCTTTCTATCTCTACTGCCTACAGTCTAATCCAAACCATCATCTTTGCCTGGACCACTGTAACACTTCTTTTTTATTTTTATTTTTTGTCATCCTCAGAGACATTCTCAGCAAGAAACTGTAATACTTTTTTTTTTTTTGAGACGGAGTTTCGCTCTTGTTACCCAGGCTGGAGTGCAATGGCGCGATCTCGGCTCACCGCAACCTCCGCTTCCTGGGTTCAGGCAATTCCCCTGCCTCAGCCTCCCGAGTAGCTGGGATTACAGGCACGCGCCACCATGCCCAGCTAATTTTTTGTATTTTTAGTAGAGATGAGGCTTCACCATGTTGACCAGGATG